ATTGCTTGTCAGCTTCATTTGGCCTTCCACAGTTAAAGGAGTGCAGAGGGACTGTTGCTGTCCTCTCATCACAGTGCTTTCATGCCACTGGGCTTATTAAATGAGCAATATTCTCCAAACAAGTATATCTTATATTTGGCCTCATTTTTTTTCCCCATATAGTTCAGACTTCCTGTGGAATACAGACCTATTAAATTCCCCTTATTGCTCTGCTCATAGTGATCAATTCTTCACAAATATTGATGTCTTTTCACGCATTTTTGTGGAGAAGTGGTCTAAATAACACAGTGTTTAGTGCCAGTCTTGAAAAGCTTTTGTATAACCCTGTCTTTGCCAGCATTACCTATGTATTCAGGACAGTCTATCCTTCTTGGTAAGGTTTGTCTGACAAGAACTTCCATCAGTTTGCCTCTTGTGTTTAAGGACCCTGTTCATACTCATGTGACCATAGACGTTTTTAGTTTATTTTGTCCCTAGTTTACTCTTTATCTTGTAGTCCTGAAATCCATTCAGCTGCTCTACAAGGCAAATCTTGATCTTCCCTCCTGTCCTTTTTTGCTTGCTTTACTATGTGTCTGGTGCTTTTTCCAGTTACGTATATTCGGCAAAAAATAGCCTACGGAACAATCTTCACTAGTGCTTCATCTTTCAGTTTTATTGTACAATATTCTGCAAAATAATTTTTATCTACATTTTTTGCTCAGTCTCCTGTTAATGAATCTTCTCTAAATCTCGACTATTTGTGAGTTTTTATGTTAGCATTGTCTCAAATTTACTTTTGATTTCTAAAGGTAAAATAAAATAAATTCATAAATACAGAATGAGAAGGATTTTTTTCAAAATTAGATGACGTGTTTCAGTAAGACAGTCTCTAAGGAAATGCAAGTCCCACTTGATCCAGTGCAGTTGTTCAGATGAAACAGTTGCAAAGATTGGATTAAGGTCTTTTCTTGGTGCTACTTTTAAGTGAAGTCTGCCTCTCAAATTCAAAGAATCAGAGACTTAAGATTGGAGGGTACCTCTGACTGTAGTTGGAGCTACCTGCCCTGTTCAACCAGGGCCACTTTGAGCTGGGTGGCCAGGACCCTGTCTAGACGGTTTTATCAATGTCAGCTGGGGAGGGAGATGCCAAAATCACCCTGGGCAGCCTGTGCCCATGATTGGTTACCCTTGCAGTGAAAAGCTCTTTGCTAATGTTCAGTGGGAACCTCTTGTGTGAGCTACAGAGAGGTTGAATTATTCTACTAAAAGCTGAGGTCACTGACAGGGCACTTAAATGACAGTAGAAGTTTTAAGTACAGGAGTCCTGTTAGAGAAAAAGCTCCTGCAAAAGCTCTTTCCTGAAATTCTAAATTTGCACGAAGTGGAAGCAATACTCAGCTGTTATATAAATAGTTTCAAGTGTATAGACTTCTCAATATGTATAGTACTGGGAAACATGTCTCTAGACTAATATGCATAAAAAAATAAGAAATATGTAGACTGACCGATATGAAATGAGATACTGCTACACCACTTAATGCTTACTTCAAGAAAGAATTTGTGAGCTTCCTTGAAGAATGGTTCAGGGAAAGGCAAGAAAAGCCATTGTCCCCCACATACAGATATCTATTTCTTAATATAAGAATTAATAAAGAGCTTGAAATGATGGGGGTTATTTTTAGAGTCACAGAATCATGTAATATCCCAAGTTGGAAGGGACCCACAAGAATCATCTAAGTCCAGCTCCTGACCCTGGATCAGACAGCCCCAAGAAGTTGTACAAACTGGGACAACCATGAAATATTACAGAAACAGCTCTGTTATATCCTTTGTCATAAACAGGTGGGTTTGCATGAAAGTTGTTTGCAGCTCAAGAGTGAACTACTTGTAAAAACAGGCAAGAATTTGGAAATGGCAGAAGCCAGGTGATTTAGAAAAATTACTGGTAAAAAAGGTACCTTTAAATGGAAAACTGCAGCTAAAGAAAATGGCCTTTTTTTTGCTGTTTCAAAGCACAGAATCCCTCAATCAGGTCTAATAAAGAAGTCACTGTCTCCTGTGCATCACTATGAGAGCACTAAAACGAAGCAGACTGTCTAAGAATGCAGTAAATCATATGGGGTCATTGCACTAATGAACAGTTCAGGCCCAAACTCTCATTAGCTTTGTCTGTAGGAAGAGAAAACTGGTAAAACAGGAAAAGGCCATATGGGAGAAGCTCTTCACTGATACTTTCTTAAACTTTTATTGTTGAAAGATATGCTTTAGCTAATTTCAGACCAAATAAAATAAATATTTTGTGATTAAGAACCAGTGTAGAAGAGCAGAAAACGCAAGTGCATAAAGCCATAAATACCTAAGTCCTTGGGGTAAGAACCTGTAAAAGTGTCAAAAACCATTGCTTAAGTGACTAAAGACACTCTCTGTTAACTAGAAGCGTGGGTGCTATTTGCACTAATCCATATTCATATATGGAAGGCGTATTTTTCGTTCCTTCTGAAAAGGCAAATCTTTTCTGTTAATAACATTAATTCCTAGGTTAAAAGCAAATGTTTCCTCTGGGTGCACTCTCACCCAGATTTCTCAGGCAAAAAATGAAGGTTTCATTTCCAATACTTACAGTTTTAATATTTATGCTAATCTGTATTTCTTGGAATAAATCTTCCGATAGAGCTGTTTAAGGAAGTAATGTAAATAGTTTCAGAAGTTATTAGGAACCCTTTTTATGTATGTGTGGATAATCATTTGTGTTTCATAAAGACTTTCTGTGGTTTGAGTTCTCAAAACGATCTTGCTGAAGTAGAGCAGAATTTTTACCAGGAAAAGATATAATTTTGTATATATTTATATTCATTTGTTCCTGTGATATAGACCCAGTTAGTTAATGCGGGGAGGAAATTTTTACATGGAGCAATTTCAATAGTATTTTCATGCCTTATAAAGAGAATACGACTACATTTTTCCCCCTTTCATTTCAAGCAAGAATTTTTAAAAATAAAGTAGTAAACTTTTAGTAGTGAAATAGTCCCTGTGTCTATTGTGATTTTTTTTTTTTTTCTTTTTAGACTTTTAGACTTGAAAGCCAAATAAGACTGTCTTAGTGTTATTTTTGAGGGAATGGACTTAAAGTTCATGTTGAAATTAATAACGGAAAAAAACAGTTAATGGAAATCTGCAGAAACCAGTTGTCAGCTAGTAATTTTGCTGCAAGAAGCATAAATTGGTGGATAAATTGACGGATGTTTAAAAGTAGCCTGCAGCTAGACAACTGAACTTAGTTTGCTGATGTCTTTAAAGTTTGCATGGACACTTGTTCTTCATCACTGCAGTCTGTTTCATATTATCATGATTATTTTACAGCTAAAAATCTTGTAAGGTTTTACAGAAACTCAGGAAGGAAAAAAAATTCTTTTTCAAAATGCTTGATTTTTGGAGCAGTGTCAAGTGATGCTGCAGTGTGTTTCAAAAAGGTCTGATGCTGTGGACCATGTAAGAATCTCTCTTGGTGCTCTGAAGTGGGTTGTGTTGGTTGGGTTGGGCTATGTTGTGCAGGATCGATTCAGTTGTACATAAGTGGCATACACCCACACAATCAGGTACAGAGTTTGTATTTTGACTGTGTGTCTCTGAGAACTGGAGCTGGTGTTGATTTAAGGAGAGCAGATGTTAATGGTGTTTTTCTCGAGCATTCTATTGCCCAAATAGGCATCTCTCATCGTGAGAAAAGGCAACAAAAGGCAGTAAATCTGCCTGCTCTATTATGAAAAGCAACAATAGATTGATTTATGGAGAAAAAGAAATTGTTAGGCTTAGGTAGCCTGTGTGCGTGAAAACTGTTTTACAGACCAGATATTTCTGCCGTCATTTTTGAGAACAATTTAGTTCTGTCTTAATTATGAGACAAGGAGAGTTAGAAAATGTTTGTTAGCCTGGATAACACATAATGATTAAATTTTATACAACTGTGTCAAGTGTAAGCAAGTTTTCTTTTCAATAGTAGACCATTATTTCCTAATCTGATTTTCGCTCTTCCTTCTGTATGGTCACTTCTTGTTTTGTGTTCCCCGTTAGCATCCCATCTGCCCACATATCAGATTCATACTTTGTCTTATGTACACGGATGAGTGTGCAAGGATGTACCACTAGGAATCAGCCAAAAAGTATACAGAGTCATGCAACCTGGCAGCAGGAAGCAAGACTCTTCAGTACTGAAGAGCAAAATAGTACAGAGCAAAATATACAGAACTTTTTGTTAATGCAATAGGACTTCTTCATTCAAAGGGAAATTCACACATTTTGAACAACGTAGGAAAAAAATCTGTAGAGCTGTTTGTTAAATAATGTACACTGATTTTAAAACTCTGTTTTAAAACTTCAGTTCTCTTTTGTAATTGGTGAAATCTAGATAATTTCTCTTTATAACCAAGTATACCTTCTGGTTCAATCACATTTACAATGTGCAGAGTTTTGGTACATATGGAAAACGTTAGGATTAGCAGAATTTCAGTACCAGCATAGAAATTTAATTTGAATCTCTATATTAAGACTTATTTTCTAAGGGAGATGAAAGAAAACTGTCTGAGGTTTTCTGGCATTTAGTGTGGTCTGCTCAGGTCTTTTGTTTTTCGATTCCACAATGCTAATTTCAATTCCAAATTGCTAATTTGAAAAACATTGCATCTCCAGTATGACAATGACAGAGATGCCTTAGGTCCATTATAAACTCATTTAGGCTCTCATGTATAATCTTTCAAACAAGCCGTTGGAAACTTCTTGTTAGGCTTTAGCAAAGAACTAGACATGATGTAGTAGTCTGTATGTATGGTGAGTGCAATAGTTATTTCCACAATGTTTGCCTCACTGACACCTGAAATTAAGGTATTTGAGTATTATTTGGCCCCACAGTTTGTTTTTTTTTCTTGACAGAATGCTTTAGGCAGTAACTAACTGTAAGAGTTTTTCTAGGCAAAAAAAATGTCTCTTAAAATGTTATTTATTTTCTTTTTTCTTCTTTTAAGTCTGAACAGCCCAGTCCTGCCAGTTCCAGCTCCAGTTCCAGTTCCAGTTTCACACCATCTCAAAACAACAGACAACAAGGTACCAGTAAAGGAAAAGAAATTGAAAGGAATGTGTGAAATGAAGGGGCCAATAAAAACAGAACTCATGGCATCTCATTACCTCTTTTCTTCTGTTTCACTGCCTGAACTGACCACAGTTTTGATTTAGAGAGATTTTTCTGCAGCTTGTTTTCAAATGTGGCTGTAAGGGCAAAATAAAAGGAGAGAAAGAAACTGTGAATCTGAGAAAAGGGTGTCAGTATATTGGTAGTTTTGAAGGACTAAATGCATGCCAGTCACTTAACAGAGGCTAAACCCAAAAGAGCTTGTGTTTCTGAGTGGTTCTTCTGCAGGGTTAGGTAGCATGGCACCTGGCTCCATCTGAAGCTCTGGAAGAGTGTGGTTTCCCATGGGTAGCCAGCAGAACCCAGATGTGTTTAGGCAGACCCTTTCAAAGGCTGTGACCATCCTGTACGACTGGGAAGTTTTAAGTGCACACAGTTTTTACTTTAATTACATGGCAAGGAAGGATGATGGTTAGACTTTTAAAGTTTGCATTTTGGTTTTCTCGCTAATAATTTCAGTTTACTTGAAACTCAATAAAGAAGGCATTTTTCTTCCTGGAGGCTTTGCCAAGGCATGTTTTCTGTAAATAAGCTGATATTCATTCTCCATGATCTATTAAACTACATAGTTCCTGGTTGGCTTCTTTCCCTGGTTTACAAGATTGTACGACTGATACATTCTTAATGAGGTTTTGTTTTATTCTTTGGATAAGGAGCATTAAAAAATCAGCCTTTGACTAAACAAAATTGTTTGTTTTAGCTGTTTATATTGCTCAGTGGTAGACTTGATTTAAGGTTATGACAGTACATTAGTGCCTCAGGCATTGATTTTAAATAGATTGTCACATGATGCATGTCTGTCCTACTGCCTTTCTGTAGGTGACTGGTACTGGTTTTCTGATGTTTTCTGGCGGTGTTACTCCATGTGAAAGAAGGCAAGGGCTGAAGTGAACTATAGTAATGGCTGGCTTCAGGCAGTTGATATTTACCTAAGAATAAACAGATACACTTCCTGCTGAACCACCATTTTTGTTCTCACAAAAACCTTTGTGGTATAAACTGTCCATTACAAGCCAAAAGACTTGGATACCCATGTCTGCATCTTGCTGGGAAAAAAGTTGTTGACTTAGTAGTTTCTTCTGAGCAGACAGGTCCCATCCATCTTTTCTGGATCACATGAGATTGTCTTTTAGTTCTTTATACGTTCTCTAGAATAGATAGGAGATTTGTCCTCCAATGTGAACAGCTCTGAAGTGCAAATGGTATATACATCTTCTCTTTTTTGCCACAGTAAATAATGGTTCCTGCTTCTTTCTGAGAGCTCCAGAAACTTCAATTAACTAAGCGTGTTCATTGCCCAGGCCATGAATTTGTATATCAAAGGTATGGAGCACCAGACATACCATGGCATGTTCACACTGTATGATGTGCTCTGGTCAGAAGCCATGCTTTTTCCCTTAACTGGAATTTACCCGCCAGGACTGTTGCTCTTTTTCGGTTGCATTTAGACTCCAGTGCTCACTCAGATGTCAAAAAAACCCAGCATGAACTTTTTTCACCTCTTTTTGCATAAGCAGCAGGCTAACCTGAGGTTCCTCAAGCTCATCTGTTCTTGAGGCTTACTTTAATATTTATCTGTTTTCTTACCAAGAAACTTGCTCATGGGCAGTTCCTAATTTTCAGTTTCTTTTTAACTATTCTGATATCTCAGGAGCTAACAACTTGTCAAACTTCTTGAAGAGTTGTTATGGAATTTTAGAGTAAGTGTTACCAAGGAACAGAAAATTTCTATCCATGCTAGAAAAAAAAATACCTAAAAATTAATGTTTTGCTGATTGGTAGAAAAGTCTGCTGAAAAGTTAGCTAACAATGTGCTTTTCAGACTCCCAGACATGCTAAGTGAGAACTTGTTTGAATGACTGGTTGACCAATGCTTATGGGGCTGTCAGTGATGAGTGTATCTGAGGAGTCCAAGTTTCTTTTTATTACTGCTCCTATAGAAGCCCTTTCCCCCCTTCAAGGGTCAGATGGTAAGTTGCTCAGTCAGAATACAAGTTGTCATTTGCAACTGAGCATTGTTTGTCTGAGATGAAACAGGGACAGAAAATGGAGCATTGCTCAGCTGCTTCTACGTATCAGCTGTGGGTGCATGGACAAGAAGCACTTCCATGCTGTCATCTATACAAATGTCTGGTCAACCAGGAATTTGCCCGTCAGTACCATCTGGTTTTCTTTCATAGGGTGTGAAAACAGAGAAAAGGGTCATTTCTCTGAACCTGTCCAAACTGTGTCAATTTACAAAAGTTCTAGGGCAGCCTTAGTGATGAATCATTCCAAACAATAGCTTTGAAGTTACTTGCACAAAACTAGTCAAAACGCCTGTGGCCTGAACTTTGCTGTTTCTGGAACAGTCCATGAAACTATTCCCCCCATGAAGGGAACACTGTCATACTCATCACTTACGAGTATGGCACTAACTGACAAATGTCTGCCTTCTCTGCTGGCGTTGACCAGGGAGGACACTCCTTGACTCATTTTCCCCATTAGCAAATAGAGAGTTGAAAGCTTCATCTCACAGGCTCACTGTGTTCCTGTTAGTACTGTGTTTGTTTCTTGGGCTGAAGGAATCACAGCCGTAATAGTAATTGCTGTTCCTGCAGCCATCACTGGTGCTTTCAATTGCTGTTTCCTATTTTAGATGGGCTATACTTCACAATTAAATGTCCTGCGTCACCAGGGCATTTTACTTTCTTCACTCTTCTAATCTGCTGTTGCCCACTCTTATTTCAAGTAGCTGTAGTGTTACACTTCCCAGATCTATCAAACATATTCCTCTTTCTGTAACTGTCTCTTAGAGGAAAAAGAGTGAAAATCAAAACCCAAACTGAATTTAATGCAGTTTTGTGAGCAAATCAAGTTTCATACCTTCTTGTTAGTTTAGGAAAAGTGATAACGTGGTGTTGGGTGGTAGTAATGCACTTCGTACTTACCAACGTGGGTGAAGTACTTACTCCACTTGAAATTGACCCTGAAATAATGGGAACAGCTGAAGTTAAAGTACATAAAAACCAAGAAGACAAAGTGACTGCCTTGTACAGGACAATTTAGTCAGAGTGATTTGTTGGAACCAACTTCTCATACATGGATTACCCTAACAAATGTACTAATACTGATCAATATATCCCTGTAGATCTTTAATCACATATAATGAGAAAGCAAAAAATACTAAACCCCAGCAATACAAAAGAAGCATGCTTTTAACAAGCATGTATTTCATGTCAGTTTCTCCTGTGACAGTGTTTTACTTACATCAGGTATGGTCCAGGGTGCAAATTGTTCTAACACTTGAGTGTGTGAGTCACTTCATTGTCATGAGTAAGTCTGTTGAAGCTGACTGAGTTGCTCATGTGAGTAAAGATTCACAAATACATGGATAGCTCCTTGCAGTCCCCCAGTGCATTAATTTAATTTTTAAGGCTGTCCTCTATCAAGACATCAAGACTGTGTGAGGAAGATAGTTTTTAAAGCTGGATAAATTGCCCAAATACTGGGAGGTAAACTTCATTGTGTTTTATTGTCTCTGTTGTTTCAGGTCCGTTGAGGACTATAATGAAAGATCTACATTCAGATGATAATGAAGATGAGTCTGATGAAGCAGATGAGAAGGACAATGATTCTGAGTTGGAACAACCTGTAAACACACGAGGAGGAAGCAGGAGTCGCAGGTGAGTGTCTCATGATTCCAAGTGGCCTGCTGACCAAGACACATACTGCTTGTTAGTAACAAGGTGAGGTCTGTGTTCTCAGAGTGCTAAGTAGCAAATGGGCAGAAAATTCACTCTTTCTAAAACATGTGCACATAAAAGAGCCCCTTTTAAACACTAACACAACTAGCCATTCCTGATACAAACTCTTCCTGTACTAATCAATGCAGTTAAGATGATACTCATTTGTTTGACTTTGCTTGATTTCATGCCATTGTGACTGGAGAGGGGGAGTTACAATTACTCCCTGGCCTAAATTAGAGAAAATTGTCCTTCAGCTATTGAATAAGCTATTCTATACATAGTCACAAGACCTCTGCTTGCTGGTTTTAGATTATTAAGTTGTTAAATTAAATCCAAATCAATGAAATTTGAATGTCAAGTAAATTCTGTGCTGCATGCAGTAGATAATGTGTAAAAGTGCATCAGAAGGTAAAGCACGCATCTGTCACAGAAATTTTAATTTTTTTTTATTTTTATAAGAAGCTTCCACATCCTTGCTACAATCTTCAGAAGGCATTCCAAAATTCATCTGTGTTCATGCAGCTTGAAGCTGCATCCAAATGGTGTTCAAGGTTATGGAAGACCTGAAACTGCCTCTCTCAAACACTCTTCATATTAGGTTCTTTATGTAATTCAGAGGATTTTCCTGTTAGAAGACAGCACTTGAGTGCCAGTGTCATGACACTTGAATGGGAAGATAATAGGAAAACTTCAATGAATGTCAGCTGCTTCCCTGGTGTACTTTAGCAGCTGGAATCAAGGAGGAAAAGACCATGATGACTTGTTGTTTGAGAACTTGCTGGTGTCAGTGATTGTGTAAAGGATTGTTTCAAGCTCAGCTTGTCTCCAAGTGCGGAGATTTTGTATCGTTTTTCTAATGGATCTTTAAGGCTATTGTTTTTCTACTTCTTTTTATCCCAAATAACTAATGGGTTTTTTCCTAACAAACAAATACTCCCTGTTGTTCATAAATGAAGGGTGAAACTGACTAGGAGCTGGCCTTTTTTATGTGACCTCTCCTGAGATGCTAAGTTTTTAAATTTTAATTGGGAAAAAGTGTGTTACTTTTAAGAGTAAACAAGGAACTTTTCAGTAAAACATATATTCAGGTGGGAAGTACACTGTTTGAAAAGCTTTTAGAAGAGCAGAAAAATATCCCTAAAGACTACTTTCCTTCTTTAGCATAGCTGTGAACTGAGATAGGGAGAAGCAGTTCAATTTTGTAGGTGTTTAACCGTTTCTGTAATGTTAGCTGCTGTTAACTGGACACTTCGGACAGGCAGCCTCCTTCTTTGTGCTGCAGAGTTTTTCCCAGAGTGCAGCCTTGCTCAGATGCCTCTCTTCCATGTGACCTTGACAAACAATAGCCGGCTTAGCAAAGGATAAGTCATTGTAAGGCCCTACCTCAAAGTGCAAGGCTGGCTCACCCCATTTGACAACCTTTTGTCTGCAGGTGTAATTCTGTGGCTCTTTTTTTCCACAGGGTTAGTCTGAGTCATGGCAGTGATAGTGACAGCAGCTCAGCTTCCTCACCACTGCGTCATGATCCTGCACCACCCGTACTGAAAACCAGCAACAGCCAGGTAAAAAAAGTGCAGTTTGGCTTTGTTTTAGCAGTAGACACTCTCAAACTCAAGAGTTTGATTCATCTTTTCTCCTTTCCCCTGCCAGTGTTTATCTAGAAAGATACAGGTTTTTTTACTGCAGTAGAAGACGCAATAGTTTTTACTTTGCATCAGAGTACTTGTTCCAGATTTATAAGAGCTCACATGGTTGTTATTTCTGAGGCAGCAACATAGGGTAGTGTGGTTTTTCAAAGAAAAGAAAGTAAATTACCCAGAGCTGAAAAATACTCCAGGGACAAATGAGAATTAGCTTTTGGGCACTACCTCACCCTCTGTAATTAAGACTCTCTAAATATAAAATTAAGTAAAAAATTTTAATTCTTTACAAAATAAAATACATAAATTTTTAGTTATTTTAAGTTCTATTTTAAGTTATTTTAATCCCCAGTGTCAATTGTATCATAAGCACAGCTGTTAGGACACATACTGGCAATAAATGGCTACTTACAGTTACAATATAGTTAAAAACGCATCTATGTGCACTAACACAAGTTCGTGGTTTAAAGGCTGAGTTTCATGGGTGGGTCTTTTCTGTATTTCTTCTCTGTAATTGCTTCAATTATCTGGCGGGTATTATTTACTTGCCCTTGGTTTTCTATTAAGATTTCCAATACAAGCTATAGTACAAACCCCAGGTATTATTATTCATGTTAGCTAAGTTCAAATACACTGTGGGAAAAAAACCCCACAAGCAAGGAAGTACTTTGTAATTCCATGTCCAGAAAATATTCTCATTTTCTACCACTGGAGGCTCTTCTAAGTTGTCTATACAAAAGTTATAAATTTTTAAGAGATAGTCTTGAGGTTAAAAAGCTGAAGAAGGGGTGAAGAATATTGCATTTACTGACCACATAAGCACAAGGCAAATAAAAAATCTGTCTATGGCTTGTTGTTTAATGAAGATTGGTTTCTAAAGAGCCAATGCAATTGTTAAGTGATTGTAAGTCTCAATATCAGCAGTCCACTCAGTCACATCTTTTGTGTTCCTTTGCCTTTGGTGATGTAATAGGTCTACCCCCACATTTAGACACTCCAAACAATAGCTGTGTGTCAGCTAAAATACCTTTACATACCTTCTTCCATTTCCTTAATTGAGCTAGATTTTATAATCGAGCTGCAAATTGGAAATTTCAGGAGACATTGTGAGAATTCAAATTGTGTGGATTACAGCCACATTTGAAATTTCTTCTTGGTAACTTAGTGCTGCTTGCCAGGATGATACCTTTTACTGATGAAATCAGGTTTGTGTTAGCCAAGTTCCTTTAGAGAATTGAAGAGCTAAGACAGAGTTTGTATTTGTATGAGCTTTCTCAGACGTGGTTAGTGCTGTACCTCATCTATAGCGTGCTTAAGATGTTAAATTTTAACTGGATATCAAGAGCACTGTAAGGAAGCTGCTTTTTTAAATATACTGTGTTCTTGACAAGGTTCTGTTTGAAACCAAGAATTTTCTTCCTGTGAAAACAATTAATGCATCTAAAAGGTACTGAATCCATGATTAAAGGCCTGGGTTTTTTTGTAGGGTTAGGTAAGGTTTTTTTTCAAGACAAAACTTTTCTGCTACTGGCAAACACAGCAGCAACCCTTGCGGGTGTTGAACAGAACTACTAGAATTATTCTTCAAAAATGTATGTTTTGATTCTACACATGCATCACTCTTGGTTAAGTAGATCAAGTAAGGTTAACTCAGATCTGCCATCACTCTCACTAGACAGTGAAACACCTGTCTGCCAGGTGTATTTTTAAGATGCTGGTCAGCCTAGGGAGAACATATGCAAGTTAATAATTTATACCAAGGGAAGGAGAAATGAGAGAGGACTTAGGGGAAAATATCAGTAGGCTTCTGGAAGACTTGTTCTTACATGCTTTATTTCCTTGTTTTAATTACCAAGTTTTATCCTGTGTTATGGCTGTTGGAAATGGTTTTGGAGTTAATCATGCTAGTGATGTTAGTCTCACAATAAAATGTGAAACATAATCTCCCATTATCTGTGATTACTTAGTTTTCTTTGATTTTTTTTTTTTTTCAGAAGAACTGGTTAAATTCTAGGCTAGGAATATGATATGGTGATTTTTCTTTTAACTTCAAAAAGGTTTTCTCTGTGGAAAAAACTGAAAGAGCAATCAACAGTTCTTTTTCACAAATACTTCTGCCTTTAGTCCTAAATGTTTCAAATCAAGCATGATGTACTGCTACTTGTTGATGCACTCTTCTTGGATCTATTTCAGTATCAGATGAAGCAATCTTGACTTGTATCAGTGTTAATAAATGGGTGTGAGTGGCATCAAAGGAAGGGTACCATATAAGTGCAAAAGAAATTACTGTCAATCACTTTCTTTTTCAGTTATAACTCATACTGTCATACTGTTTGAAAACCTCTGTTGTCAAAGAAAGGAGATAGTATTGAGAGGAAAAAAAACAAAGAGAAAAAGTACAGTCATAATGTGACATTTCAAAGGCTCTGGAGAGACCCTCAGCATCATTTTGTATCTGCCAAATCACCTCTTACTTTACCAGCATGTGAAAGATAGGGAAAAAAAGTGTTGAGAAGGCTTTAAATGACATAAAATTCCTTCTTTTAAGGCTTAATAAAATCACTCTCACTTAATTCTAGTACCGCAGCATTTTCTGCTGTAAGTTACTTTTTGTTCTGAAAAATATGAGTAAGTTATATGGATTAAAGAATGAAGAGCTCAGTTTTGAGTTTGTTATTAGCAGCAGAATTTTCCATATATAGTTGTACCCAGTGATGCATTTAATTTTCACAGTATTTTCTTTCTTTTCCAGATTTTAGAAGTGAAAACTCCAATAAAGCAAAACAAAACGGATAAACAAATGAAGAATGGGGATTGTGATAAGGTAAATAACAATGAGGTAACAATGAACTACTCTTGAATATGATACTACCGTGCTTACGAAATGCCAACCTTTGTTACAGAATGAAAATCTTAGTACATCTTTGCTTTGGATTCCTTTAGGTGTAGATCTTTTTCTGTTTTCTTTCAGTAATTCTTTTATCTTCTTTCATATTTTGATTTTTATTTCCCTTCTTTTCGATCAGGTGATTTAGCAAATTTCACCAATTGGGAGTCTTCCATTTATCTACTGTCCACCATGAGTTTGTATTGTGCTTCACAGAGAAATAAGATGTAGAGGGTTCACAGATGTGTTCCTAGCCTGCAAATGAATCACTTAGGGGATAAAAAAATCATCTATTTTCCAGAATCCTTTCTGAAGGCTGTGCATTAGGAAGCGACAGTGTGATTTAGCATGTTGACTAAAATGATATGAAGCAACTGTTGCAATTTAACACTGAGATAGTTTGATTTAAAATCTGTCTACTGGTTATGGGCAAGAACTCTCAATCTTTCCATGAGTGAACATAGCACAGTTGCCCACTACAGACAGGTTTCTCTGAAAGCCTGTATTTTGCTGGTATTAGTATCAGTTTTGGGATAACATGAGGCAAAAGATGGAAGTTGCAGCACCTATATTTTTAGTGCTCTGATATTTTGGTTTGTGTTTTGACTGCTTAGGTTGAGTGTCATATCCCTTTCTGTTAACAACAACAACAAAAAAAGTTTTTGATGGCTTAGGCTGAAGGAGGAAGTTGATAATAAGGTGGAGAGGTGGGACATGTTTGACATCCCAGGGAAGAAACACTGGAATTTACCTGTGACTTAATCTTGCTTAGTCTTTCTTATATCTCCCTGTTTACACAGAAGGAACAATTAGATACCTCTAGAGAAAAAGATTGATTTGATTTTAAGTATTTGGGTGTGGTTCTTACGCAGAAAGATGGGATATGTTTTTTAAAGATGCTCTTTTGGCATCCCCAGTCCTTTGATGCTTTTTGGCACAGTTGAGATACAGAGATTTTCTTCTACAGCAAATGACTACCTATTAAGATTTTTGTCAGTGTGAAGTATCTTAAAAAACCACAAAAAATTATATTTGTGTTGTATTAAGTTGGAGAATGCCAGACTATTGATAAAAAAATGCACCCCAAAGAAGAGTTTGGTTTGACCTCAGGTCCTGTGTGCAGTTTTCAATGCTGTACTCTAAGAAGGATTTAAAACTATTAGAGAAGTATCCAAAGGGGGGTGCAAAGATGGGGAAGGGCCTAGAGGGGAAGGTTTACAAGGAGCTGCTGAGGTCACTTGGTCTGTCCAGCCTGGTGAAGAGAGGCTGAAGGGGGTGAACTCATTGATGGAGGGAAGACCTCCTGAGAGGAATAGGAGGGGCAGGCACTGATCTCTGCTCTGTGGTGACAGTGACAGGACCTGAGGGAATGGCCTGAAGCTGAGTCAGGGGAGGTTGGATGTTAGGAAAAGGTTCTTCACCCAGAGGGTGGCCAGGCCCTGGAATGGGATCCCAGCAAACTGGTCACAGCACCAGTCTGACAGAGCTCAAGAAGCTGAGAGAATGAACAATACTCTTAGGCATATGCTGTGACCCTTGGTATTGTCCTGTGCAGAGCTAGGAATTGGAGTCAGTGATTCCTCTATGTCTCTTCCAGCTCAGAATATTATATGATTCCAAGATTTAAAATAAGATTTCTATTTGTATTGGTTTTGAAGCTATATGAAGTTTGTTAATTATTGCTATGACTTAATTAACAAGTTGTTTATGGGGGAAATTTGTTTCTAGGCATATCTTGATGAGCTAGTAGAGCTCCACAGAAGATTAATGACATTGAGAGAGAGACATGTACTGCAGCAGGTAAGAAGCATTCTCATGCACTGTCAGAGTGTGGTCATTGAAATTCTGAAGTCACATCTACTTTTTTTTTGCTTTCATTTATAATTCTGTAATCAGTCATAAGTTATTGGTTAAAAACACTGCTATCAATTTCAATAGCCATCAAGCCTATATAGTCCACAGAAGTCCATTGCCTCTTACACTGCAGCTTGGGGAATTTTTTGCACTTAATAAAATGTGCGATTGTGTTGTCTCTCTAAATTACTTTTTTTTTTAAATGCCAAAAATGCCTGAGATAAATTTTTCACCAGTTGTTGTGTTTCTTAAAATACTATATCAATAATTATGAAAGCGGGATGGGAAAATGGATATATCTGTGCATTGTGACTTGATAAAAATCTTGTTGCTTCTTTCCTGAAAATGACCAGCCCTGTCTCAGAAACAATTGAGAAACCTTGAAAAAAACAAGGTTTTTTCCTATGGCAAGCAGGAAACATAGAATTCAATGCAAAGCCCACTTTGAAGAAAAACATAATACATTTGTTGAATCTTCTGAAGTCATAGAATGAGTAGAATATGGAAGTGTCCAAACCAAAAAGGCTCCAAATTTATTGAAAGGTTATTCAATAGTAAGAGCAAAGAAAGTGTTCTTGGTTTAGGGTGGTATTCTCAGGAGCTATTGGATTGCAAATTGTGAAGATTAAACAGTAAGCATCTCAAGAAATATTTTCAGATCAAGTAAAGTGCTTCAAGTTGAACCCCTCATCTTCTTTCTCACAGGCAACATTTATTTGGTAACGAAGAAATATTTGTCTTTGTTAGAAAAATAATGGGTTTGTCCGCTAAATTGTGTTCATTCTAATATTGGAGTACTGTTATAGTAACCTTTGTGAGAAGTTACTAATACAAGGAAAAATCATGTGAAAAGAAACATAACCAAGCTGGAAATTTAGAGTATCCTATTCTGAGTAGATGAAAAAGAGTAGTATATTCTTGGTATATTCTTGTGCAATTTAAACTAGACTTTTTTTTTTTTTCTCTTGAGACAATTTATCAAACCAGAGAAAGCATTCATTCATGAACTTTGGCTCACAACTTGCATTAGGAGTGAGGCATTTTAATGCTGTAATCCATGATTACTTATACATTATTATTTACATTTTAAAAGTTTGGTTGATGTGGAACTGGTGTTGCCTTCCTGGGGGAAATTGTTCTTGCAGATTGTTTCCTGTGTTTCAGAGCAGTTGCAGGCTGTTGGTGCAGCCCCAGTGAAAGCTGGATTTATGGCCAGGCTATGCAGGCTGGGACAGTGGTTCAGCTCTGCTGGGAACAGCATAATACTGGCTACAGAGGTCTTCCAGGAGTCAGTGAAAGAGCCAAGTTACTTACCTGTTAGCCCGTCTGCTGGCTAGAGAGTGGTCTATGCTGCTGTAAAACAAAACACAGCTTAGTTTTAAAACCTTTAATCCCTTAGTATTCTGCAACACATTAATGAATATGATTTTATCCATTTACAGAAATATCTTCACAATACTGAATGGATAACTTGCAGAGAATCAGTGCTTCTCTACATTAAAAATAATCTGCCATCCCATCTTAAGTGTCCTTACTGCTTTGCAGCTATGTACTTAATGTAAAATACTTTCAGTATGCACAGAAATTAAAAAGATACAGTGCTGAGAAAGTTCATAGAAATTCATGTGAAACTTCTAGGCTAAGAAATACATACAGATTGTAGGAAGTACAAAGGTGCCAAACTGTGTAACGGGATTGTGGTTGCTGCATGAGAAGAGGGATCAAATGCAAGAGTAGGCAACAGAAAATTGTAGATAGCTGCCAGAGTTTTAGAGGTGCTGGTGTTGAAGTGGAATGGTGATGGAGTCGTGTGCTCCTGAATGGCGGCTGTTGTCTTGTTAGTTTATTAGGGCAGGTGAGTCTCTTGCACAGAGACTTTGAGGGAATTTTCAGAGAAGGGACTTGCAGAAGAACAATGGAGGCATTGATATAGTGTAAAAGCACAGGCTTTTTAAACTTAAACTGAGGTACATGAAAAGGATTTTCTTTTTAATTTTTTTTTTTCCAATCTCAGTTGTTACCAAGTCATGACAGCATACAGGAATGCAGCCAAATTGGAAATGAGAAAAATGTATCTGTGAATGTGGCTCTTTCCCAAGAGAGGCATTCTCTTTGAGACACTTTGCTAAAGGAAGCAGAAAAAAAGAGAAGACAGGAGAGATGTGATATTGCAAGTGCCCAGATACATAGTGAAATAATTCTGATATTAGGTGTTACTTGCAAACATGTAAGAGTTGTGTGAGAGGGAGAAGACATGTGAAGAACATTTCACCAAGAAATTTGTTCTGTAAGCACCTTTTATATGAATATTGGATGATGGCAAGACAGAAATTGCTCTGAAATTACATTTACAAACAAATTCCTCTACCACATCTTTCACTGTAAGGAAAGAGGTTGGAATTTACAATGATGAGGCACTTTTTTTTGCTTTTTTTTACAATCAGATGCTAATGCTGCATTTCCAATATATTCAAATTTGGCTGGCTAAGGCAGTGTTTCTAGCTCTACATTTTCAGTGCAGAATGTGTTAGCATGACCCCCATGAAAGGCAGCAACATTTCTGGTAAGACTTTGTATCTTATTTTGAGGCATCAGAAGTCATATCTTCAGCTGGTAAAAAGTCTGAAAGGCAGTGCATTTGGCAGTACAGGCATAAGGAAGAAATGGAGAGTATGCAGCATGGCTGAAAATTACATTGCTCATATTCTAAAGGTGCTTAACTTCAGATGGCAACTATCTTCTTAGAATTTTCTGCCAGGGGCAGCTTGGAGGTCTGGAAACTATCACATGGCCTAAAACCCTCCATAAATTGAAAAATGACTGTCATTAGTTGCACTTTGGCTTCCTTATACAAACACACTCATTTGCTTGTTTAAAGGCTGATAAATAGTTATACTATGATGGATAATGATGAAACTGAGCTGGAGAGACATTATGTAAACAGAGACGTAATTTACAGCAGAAAAGCAAAGCTTATACAGGAGGAACAAATGGGATATTTTTGTTCTTTGCAGCCTGAGCTCTCGGAATAAAATATTTTAATGCTGTGTTTTTAATGTTAGAACTGTCAGACTTCCTAGCAACTAATCACAACCTTTTATTCTTTTTGAAGAATTTCTGAATAGCACAAGGATGCATATGCCAGTACTGTAAGTCATGAATTCCTCATTCACTGGCACACAGACAGGTGTTTTTCATTGAGCTGTCTGGGTTTATCTTGATACATTTTTGTACATCCATTAAAACCTTTGGGGTTCATTTCAGCCATTTGCCAGGTGCCCAGACATGGTGACTGTATCTTTTGGGGGCTGGATGAGGGATACATTTAAAATGTTTATGTTTCCCTTGACCTAGAGCTTAAAAGCCCAAAGCAGAACTTGATCAATAGAAGTCCTTAGCCATTTCTTAAAATATGCAGCACTGTTTAAAAATACATGTGTTAACACTTTCACATAATCTTTGTTTCTGAAATCAAATATAATGCAGTGTAGGTGACTGGGGTGGTATTCTTCCACAGTAATGCAAGGAAGTATAGACAGAGTTATTCAATGCATTTTGCTGGCCTCTGCTTCTGTAAACTTCTTGTGCAGCCATTTATGTGTCTGACAGTGGATATTCAGATAGGAAGCCCAAGATTAGATTCCAAACTTTACAAAAGGAGGCTGTATTGGCTACTTACCTTTGCTTCTCTCTTAGGTGAGAGATGGCACTCAAGAGAGTGCCAAAAATGACAATAATAATGCATATCAAAGTTTGCTTCTGGTATCAATCATTTTTTTCCCACTGGATTGTTTTTTTCTCATGTCAATTGCAGAACAGTGGGAGATGCAAAAGAGCCTGCTAATCAACAAGCGGACAAATGAAGTTAGTGATTTTAGATTGAAAATTCCTTTATGGGAAAAAATTGAAAGCAAAAGGTACAGATTTAAGTTATGTGTTTAATAAAAGCAGGATTTTTTCCAGGTACTTTCAGAATTTTGGGCACCTGCAAACCAAATTAAACAGATTTTATTTTTATTTTTTCCCACCTTTGAAAATAAAGGGAATTGAAAAGGGAGATTTTTATTGTAACAGACATTTCTCTTTTATTATTTTATCTTGTATCCATTCTGTTTAATCTGTCCTGGGCTTTGTCATTCGATGCCTGACAATACACATTTCATTTATCATCAAAGTAGTCTTTGCTTCTGTGGTCTAAGAAGAAAAAAGCACCTGTTTAAATAATGACATGAACATTGGAAATCTAGAAAATATTTAGTTGAAATTCATTGTTCTTTGTGAAGTTGGTTAGACATGTGTGCATACATCCTATCTTCTCCAGCTGTGGAAAAGGAATTGCGGTCAGAGTAATAAAACTCAAAACAGTCAAGGAATATCTCACAGTAGTGTTTCAGTGGAGGTGTATGTGGAAGCCCCAGAATTAAATGAGTTTCAAATTGGAGGTTGCAGACAGGATTTGGAGTGTAGCCTGAATGCTGCACGAGGGGTGGTTGGAAGGACTGAGAAGAGCAGTGTTGTTGTGTCAGTCCCCTAGGGGCTGCTTCAGGGTGGGGTGCCTTTCTCTGTGCTCTTGGCATGTCTGTCTCTTGGAATGAAACAGCCTCTGAGATTTGCAGCAACCGTGTGTTGGCACTGTGTTAGGCCTCTCTGACAAATAATGCTTTGGCTTTTCAAGATGCTCAAATGTTTTTGTCAAGGTAGGTGTGCATCCTGGAACATAACATTTCTGGAGTTATTCTTTGCAGCAATTCTGTGTTGAGTATGACCCCTCTTCAAAAATACAGGCTACAGTTTAGAGACTGAAAATGTCACAATTGCAGAAAGGCACAAGTCAGGTATCTACTGTCAATTTCAAAGAATTTTGGGATGGTTGAGGTTGGAAGGAATCTCTGAAGGCCACAGGGACATGTGGAGCCAGTTGCCTGGGATTATGTCACATGACTTTGGAATATCTCCAAGGATGAAGCCCATGTTATGACATTGCTGGGAGTCCTTCCATGGCTGATTTGGATGAAAAAAAATAGATTTAACTCTGTTAATCAAAAAGTGACTGCTAGTGTAGGAACTAACAGTTCATGTAAGAGCTCTTAACAGGGACTGGACTCCCTAAAGATTTATTTCTTTTCCTCGCTTGCAGAAAGGCTTATACCATTTATTTCTGAATGTAACCTGCTTAGCAGCTATGCACATAATAAATATTCCAGAGATCTACCTGGGATTTTTAAAATTAATTGTTTGATCTTAAGGATATCATGTTGCCCCTGCCCCCCCATATTTTTAAACTGAATTAGAAAATAAGCAGATTTTCTTTGAACGTTTGAAAAATATATTGTCAATGCTAATGTTTGCTGGAACAGCAGATGGATATGCTGACATTATGATTGATGATGATCTAAAAAAAACCCCAAAGTATTGTAATCTGGACAATAATGCATGTCAGGAAGGACATTAATGATAAGGATAATGGTTAAACCAGCAAGTATTGGGGCAATTTGACTCATATTAGGCCTTTCATATGGTACGTGTTTATACCTACAGTGGGCATGTAAAACTTCTGGAATTTCCAACTGCATCTTTTCTTTTCTTTCAGATAGTAAATCTTATAGAAGAAACTGGACACTTTCATATCACAAACACAACCTTTGACTTTGATCTTTGTTCACTGGACAAAACCACAGTCCGTAAACTACAGAGTTATCTGGAAACATCTGGAACCTCCTGAGGATTCAGCACATGGCTGCATCAAAAACTGCTCTTTAAATGACGTATACAGAATGATGTGACCAAAATGGAGGGGGAAAAAAGCAAAAACCTCTTCAGCTTTTATTTTTCCTTAAAGCCAGTCTCTTGATAAGAGAGAAAACGTGACCAGACTCAGAGGACCACTCTTCTCAAGAAGAAAATGCTCTGGAAGAGTTTGCCTGGATAGCCTTGAAAAACAAACACAGAAAAAACAAAAATACTTGTTCTTAATGAATGTGTATGATATCATGTATCTCTCTCTGTGGTGTTCAAGTCCACAAGATGAATGCATGTTCAACACACTGCCTTACTACATAACTGATCTATTTATTATTGCATACATGTATCCTAAAATCAGTGAGTCACTGAGTGACACTACCAGATATTGCAAGTAGTGGGGTCCCTTGTGTGCTCTTTTGATGCAGTACTTTCACAATCCTAATAACCTTATTCATATTAAAATGCCACTTCTTGCTATCTTTCTTTAGTCAATTAAAACACTACGGTCTTGATTCCACTCTGCAGTTCCAGGAAGCAAGATACAAACTTGGTGACCAAACAGTGGTCCTGTATTTCATTTCCTGTCAACCACAGCAAGTTGGACTGCAGGTCCTTGATTCTATCCACTTACTGATGGTTCTTGATGACCATGGTTAAAAAGTGCACCCAATAGGTTCATACAACTTGCTGTCTAGCCTCAGTGAATAAACCAGTAAGACTTTTCACAAAAAATGTTATGTATACTGTCCTGAATCTGGCAACTCTTGCAGTCTACATTCTTGTGTCCATTTAAATGTTGCAAAATTAAATATATATTAGAGTGAAGGTGTTCTGCAGGAGCTCATGATAAAAGAAAAAATACTGGTCCTGTCTTTAAAGAAAATGTTGTAGAAAATTCTTAATTTGGAGCTATTTATTACTTGGATTTTCAGCACTCTTCTGCTGCCAGTATGTGACTCACTTCTACCATAAAACTTTTTGCATAATATTTTTGTTTGTTCATATAGTATATGATCTGCTTAGTTTGTTTTGGGGATTTTTTCTGACTTAGTTTGTTTTTTTTTTTTTTACAACTGCTAAATTAAATCCTTTTATTTGAAAAGAAACTGTTGTTATACAGTAAAATAAATACATATATGATACCATCTGTATGTGTGTGTTTATATATACACGTATACTACACCTGTGTATGTATATATACACACACATAAATGCACATATGCTTTTTAAACTTTCAAGACTTTGGTATCTGTTCAATAACCTTATTGTGTTTCCAGAAGAATTTCTTGTCTATAAAAATGAGTATTCTTTCATACCATCCATTATTTCTTAAAATCAGGATCCTTGTTTATGCATGATCAAATGAGAGGATGTGTACTTGATTTCACATCAATGCTTCATGCTCTCATATTGCTGATGGTTTCTTGATGAAATCATTATCTTTAAATTAAAAATCCAAATTCTAAATGAAAATAAAAAATAATAATTTAAAAAATACTTCTGGATGCAAAGGTTTATTCAGGTTTACCAGACTAAAAAATGTATCTTGTTGCTAGACAGGCCAGTATGTCATGTGTATGCTTATATGCCACATGTAGTCTCTATGTGTAGAGCTAAACAGTAGTATCTTTATGACTTACTGTTTCATGTGCACAGTTTGTGCAGCACTGAAAAACTATTGGGGTTATTTCTTATTCAGATGGTAAATCTTAATACTGTTTCTTTAAGTCCAAAGAAAATTTTACACTTTACTCTTTTTGAAAGGGCACGATACGTATTGGGTTGGGGGGCTTTTTTCTTATTTAAAACGTTGTTTGATCATACTCCGCAGGAAGTCCTCCTTAGACTTCTGAAGAATAAGTGTACTTTTTCAGTAATGTTATGACTCTTATTGATGATTGGCATGAAGCATACTTGAAGCGTTATGTTGTTCTTTTAAGTCCATGTCTTAATGTGCAATTGGGGAGGGGATGGAGGAGTGGGAGTGTAATGTTAACTTTACTATTGACAGAAGGCAGGTGACGATGGGGAAGGGAAAAGGGATGCATGTAAAGGGGATAAACTTCAATTTTTATTGATTGTTTTATATAAAAATGTTTGGTAATCTAAAAGCAACCTTAAAAAGCTTTGGTCTACAAATGTGTGTTCAACTTTCCTGTCTTTTAGTTATACCAGATGTATATGGAAATTTGTCCATTTAGACTTTTCTAACTAAGTCTTGTGGTAAAGACTCATTGAGTTTCAGAAGGGGATACTTCTAGTATGACTATTGCACTGCTTTTTTAGAAATGGTGAAATGAATCATTTTACCCTTAAAATACAGATAAGCTTTATTGTACACTGAGAACAGGGGTGGAGGAAAAGAGAAACTAGGTGGATAGGCATAAAAGGGAGATGACATCAATTACAGTATCAAATCAGTGCTGAATTTCATGCAAACTGTGGATGATCCTTAAACTCTTAAATTTTCTAATTCAATGAGAGAGAGAAAATATACTGTTGGTGTCAATGTGTGTGTGGACTTTTTCACAAAACTGATAGAAATAGAGGGACTAAGTTTTGATCTAAATTTTGAAGTTAGCTATTTTCATCTAATTTTGTATATGGAAACAAAATAAAACTTATGTTCACCTAATTTCAGACATTCATATTTCTCTTAAAGGAAAAGCAAGAAGATACCTTTCCAAGTCTTTAAAGTCTATAAGCATTGATTTTTGGGATGAATTAAAGTGTTTTGGCAACAAATGTTTTAAAGTTTTACTTAACAGAAAGCTGTTTAAAACAGTTTTGAGTGAGAATTTGGACCAGACAGACAGAGATTAGCAGTGAATTCCAATACCTAGAGTAATTCTCAGCATGAGTCATTGTTACTAGAGCAGTCATATCAAGTAGCAAAGACAGTTTTCTCACTAGTAACTTTCCTCCTCAGAAAGTGGATGTCCAATTGGGTAGACAATTTTGTAAAAAGTTTTTAACTTAATTTTTTCTGTCTCTTTTTTTTTTTACAAATTCTAATCATCTGAGAGGCTTTACAAAACTTTCGGTATCATCTCAATTTGAAGGCCATTTTAGTCCATGCTAAAGAAAAAGAGCTAGAAAGGAGGAAGGCCCTCCTTTCCTCCTCTTGTACACTGAAGTGAAGAGAGTCTTCCAAGGTAAAACTAAATCCGTGCTCAGTCTTGAGGCTTTGGACTGTAAGAAATGGTTGGTCATTTCTCTCTCACTTCATTGGTTTGGTGGTTTTAGGAAAAGACGATGCTTTGAATTTCAGAAAAAAAATGCACCCAGTACAGTGCATTTGGAGAGCCCTGTATATTTCTATTAAAGTTTCTTTTAGTCTCTGGGAAGGAAATTGCAAGTTCTTGGGTTTTGCCTGACCCATTGTTCTTCTTTCCCACTCTCACAGTGGAATAAAGTACTTTCACAATCTAGTTTGAGTCCTTGGTCCTTACTTGATATAATCTTCCTTTTCTAGGAGCTATACCAGTGTTTTGGGGTCTCTTGAATCACCCATTGATTTCAAGACATGTCAGTTTGCAAAATTGATGGGGAAGCTGCAGAATTGTCTGAAGTGAAAACTGACTCATTCATTTGGTTTTCTTCTATGCATTACCTTACTCCGGACACTGCTCTGATGGTAGGATACACCATATCCCGTCTTTTGACACTGGGAGTTCAATGACAAACTATCTTCTAGTAAACTCTTATTTCAATATACGGAGTCTGTTTTATGTTTGCTTGTTGGTCTGTGGTTTGCAGAAATTAAGTTTCAAGATGAAAATTTTGTCAGGTTTTCAGCCACAGCAGGAGCTAGGAAGAACTACAAAAATAAGCAGTGAAGTAAGAGATGTTCCAAAGTTTAGCAAGTGTGAGGCATGTGTTTTTATGAGCCTTGATAGTTTTCTTAGTTGTCAAGCAGTGTACAGTAGAATGTAGTGTACACCAGGAAGCTACTCTGTACACTGTATGAAGCCTTACTGCTGGGCATAAAAGCCTTACTAAGAGATGACAGGGACTAAAACACATATATCTGCAGTGTTTTTGTGCATGCTTGGGAGTTAATCAGTGCATTAACGCTGCTAAACCAATGACATTTACAAGGCTGGCTCTGTGTCTGGACAGATAAATTAACATCAAAGCATGCTCACTGTAAGGGCCTCGCATTTGATTGAGCAGCAAGAAATGCTACTGTGACTAGACAGGAAAGAGAAGTATTACCACAGTGAGAACAAAGCCCTGGGGTGTGGGGTGGACTGGGGAGGAAGAAAAAAGTGTAAAGAAGAGATGCAGTAATAGAACTGCCTTGGTTTGCTGCTGTAAAATCTGCTGCAGTTGTTGGCGAGTAGAGACAGAGATTGCAGCAACATGAAAAATTGAAGGCTTTTTATTGTTTGGGATTCGAATGTATGTTTCACATTTGTTTCAGTATTGACTGAAACAATTCAGATTCAGTATCTGACTTACATTCTGTTTTACCTCAGCCAGGCTCATTGCACTGCAGAATGATAAGATTGCATTTTTCATTTGCTTTAATTTTTCTAGTCTTGAAATGTCAAATGTAGGCTCGTGAATGTAGCAGATGCATTTTTATTATCATTCAGTATAATTCTAACTGGAAGTAACCATTTCCCGAATCTTCCATCAAATGGATTTTGCATTTTTGTATGTTCCTTTAGGGAACTGATGCTATAAAGCTGCAATTTCTGTTAGTAAACTTCACCCTTCTCGTCACAGCAAGGAATAAATTATTAGCTTTTATCATTTCTCACAGAGAGACAGAATGCTCTGTCTGAGTCCTATTTAGGAAAGAGTAGATTTGTTGAAGGTGTCAAATACAGCTTTTTAATAAGACCTAGAAATAAAGCCTATCTATTTTGGGGAGGAAAAGGACAGAAAATATTTCGTTAATATTTCTGCTCTGATCATGTTGGGATTTTCCTACAATTACATTCCTCTTTCAAATCGTTAAGCATCTAATAGCCAGTGACTACATGCAAACCATTAAAGAATCAAAGGCATTGAAAATACAAGCAAATTTGTATTAAAATCCTGGCACTGAAAGGAATAAGGTCATAATGCTGATACTGCTTTCAGTGCAGGGCTGACATTCCTAGCACATGTGGTTTGTGTATCCTCATCTGAGTGGGTGGTCTAGAAAATGGTGCAAAGTGCCTCGGGAGGGCTTAGTTTTTGAGTGGTGCAGAGGAAACATTCATGATATGCTCAGCCAGTACCACCCAGGCTATCCAAGATGAAGCAGTTTTCTTTCAACTTTTATGAGCAGCTACATTTTCACTTTGCCTATGCAGCTAAATATTTTAATTCATTTTTTATAACTCTGTTAATCCCCAGCTGTAAGTTCCATTCTTGCTAGGCACCAGGTTAGGCTTGGGGTGGAGTTATTGTGATGTGGCTGTTTCTTTGGGAAGGTCATAAGACAAAAGCAAAACCTGGTAGTTACTCCATTATTATTATTACTATTATTTTCTTTTTCTACTTTTGTCCAACAAGTATAAGTCTCTGAAATGTTTACTCTCAAAAAGTTGATACTGCTTTCATTAGTGTCAGGTTTTGTTAGCACAGTGTATAGTAAGTGGATGAATTAGGAGTAAGTTTCTGCGAAAGTAGACATATCTAAGATCAAGATGTACCCTTATCAAGTGGTCTTTTGGACCACTGCAATCAGGGCAGCCTGGAAATGCTTTGATTGTTATTGCAGGAATGCATGAGTCTCAGCTTGTGTATAAAGGGAAGTAGTGATTAAAGTGCTTAATTAGTTTTCAACTATCTCTTGCTTAAGCTCCCTTGGGCGTCTGCTCACAACCTATGTAAAAACTTAATTGAGTGTTGGCTGGGAATTTTCTTTAAGCATCCCTTTCTCTTTGCATTGTCATAGCTGTGAGGATAGGTTGCTGCAATAAGCACTTGCCACTGTCTTGCAACTATGGACCAGTGCTTGGTTTAAGTTGAATTATGTTCACAATTAACCATACTGCTTGTTGATCAGATGAATTTTCTTTATCTTTTATTCTTTTGTGGTTACAGATAAATATTTGCAGGGGGACAGGTGGGGCAGGAAGCGGGGAGA